ATGATGAAGAACAAAAAGTTGGGCCACAATAGCAAGTCTTTTGAAAGAAATAGAGGGCAATGTTTCCAAAGTTGAATTCTGGTTCACTTATCTTCTCAAAGTTTGAGGACAAACTTTGAGAGTTTCTGAAGAAGACGGTTGGCAAGAGATGTCACTGCTGAACCTCTGAGGATTACTGCATCTGTCCAAGTTGGTTTGGAGAGTCCTTCTATGGCACTTACTCATTTGGTTTAGGGCAGAGGTCACGGATTAGTGGACCGCGGTCCGGATCCACACCCACCTGCTGGCTAATCCGGACCCAGCCTGATTTAAAACATTTATGAATTAGCACATGTTTTCCAACAGCAGTGTCTAATTTCAATTGCGCCGCTTCTCCTGTTTGTACGGTGAAGCCCTCCAGTACCAGGCTGCACATGATATAAATTAGCCAATGAGCTGTGGCTATCGGGGCTGTTGCTGCTAGCTGCTTTTAGACACAGCAAGCAAACCTGTGGCAAGCGATGGGAAAGAAGGAGAAGATGAGAAAAAGTGAAAGAAAGTGTGGACTGCTTGAAGAAGTGTAAACTGGTGACAGAAAACTGAAATGGCATGCTCAAAGGTGACCCTGTACATTTTGAGTATGTTTGGCTCAACCTGTTGCTGTGAAGCAGGATTCTCCATCATGAACAGAATCAAAAATGAATATGGATCCAGGGTCAAAATGAGCACCTTGATATGTGCTTTAGAATGGCTTTGTCTCCATTCAAACCCAGGTTTAACGCCTTGCAGGGCAGCCTAAAGCCCACTGCTCTCATTAAGCTATAAAAAAGAAAGACAAACAAACAGTCAGTTCAGGTTTTTTTTATAAAACATTTGAATCTGGAAATTGTTTATATACAAAACAGAATGATTGTTGTTCTCTACTTAAAAAAACACTTTAGATTTTAAAATGGAAACATTTTCTATTTTTCTTTTTTTTTATATTTTTTTATTAAAAAAGTCAATGTATAACATGGATGCATGAAAAAACTCATTTTATCTCAGTGTTAAATTATGTTTAAAGTAACAGATTATAATTAAAAATATCTCAGGACCTTTACTGGTTGTTCATTTTTTCTATTTGGACCACGCTGATTTTTAATTGGTTACCCCTGGTCTGGGGGAATGCACAGGGTCAGGTCTGTGAGAGCAGAGACATGCAAAATGATCAAAGGGATGGTATGGAATTACAGAGCCGGTTCAGAGTCAGAGCCAGGGGAGGATCCCGGAGAGAGGTAAGGGCACAGAAACAGGTCAGAGATCCAAAACTGTAATTGTTTTTTTGTTTTTTTAGGTCCAAATACATGGGAAATTACACACAAAATAGAAATTGTAAGACTCCTTTTTTCTTTGGTTCTCAGACGGTTATGACAGGTCCGATCGGATTCAGGCAGGCACAGAGAATCAGGAGGCAGAATCCGGTCAAAATCAGGCAGACAGACAAGAATGCAGAAGTAAACTCACTGATGGCTTGTAATAATCTGACACCAATCACTGGTCTGAGAGCTGGTTATACAGTCAGTTGAGCAGGTGAATCTGATGGAGGCTGATTGGGATCAGGCCAGAGCTGACAGGTGTGATGATTTCTGAATCAGACCAGAACTAATGCCAGGAATCATGATATAAAGAGACTGTAAAGACTCGGAAATCATTATGAGGACCATATATCTCCTTCCTAGCATTTAAATATTTAGGTATAATCTATAATGTCGAACAGTGTATCATGAGGTGATGGTGTTTTTTTTCTTTTACCCTTGGACCCGTTACCCCAATGACCCGACCATCGATTGGCAGAAGATTGATGGAAGGATGGGTTGAATTGGGCTTGAAAATTTATCTTCAGCTAGATGGATTTTAAACCTGACAAGAGTTTCTTTTAAATGTAACATTTCTTTTATCTTGCTATAATTGCTCAAATTAAAAATAAAGGTGTAGATTGATGGACAGGTGGACCGCCTGATGGATGAAGTAACAAAGAATGAAATCAAATTAGTGTTGTAAAATGTTTTTTTTTAATCAATAGGCAGTGATTGTAAACAAATGACTCATTCTTACAAAGATACTTGAAATCAAATATCTGAAATAACTGCTTCCATGAATCCCCTCCACATCATTTGCAGATATGAATGTGCCTACAGTAAAATAAGAAATAATTACATTTTAACCTAAAGAAATTAAATTAAGAGAATTAAAGATTAACATTAAACATTAAGAGAATTAAACATCCTTTCTATCTAAAATGAGCCATTCCTTTTTAGATAGAATCACATTGTAATATGTGATCTTAGCTTGTCTTACCTCATCTGCTTCTCTGTGACTCCGTGAAGTCTTTCTTGTGACATTTTCAGGTTCTTCTATCTGCCCTATCACCAAGCACTCTCCGTTCATGATGACCTGGTTTTACACCTGGCCTTGAAACACCTGGTTTCATTTACAAATCACATCCTGCTGGGTTTCATTCTCTCAGTGCTATGGTGATGATAATTATACTACCCTTTCCCTTATCATGGTAAGATTTTTTAAATTCTTTTTTTTTTGTCTTTGTTTGCTTTTACTTTCAGTCTTATTAAATCATGCTACCATATAATGACTGAGGAGATTTTTTTTATTTTTTTTTAATGAATGGTACATATCTTTTAGTCTTTAACATAAATAAATGTATGTCAACCAAACAGAGTGTACTTATGTCCTGTTTCTCTAGGATACGAGATGAGTAAAGAAATGCAGATCTTATTTGGCTCAGTTAAGGTTGGTTTATATTTAAGAAAAAAGGAATAGCTTCCAAATGAGGGGTTTAAGGTGATAAAACTACGGTGGCCCAGAGGTGTCAACACTTATGCAAAAGCTGCAAGGCAAATACAAAAGCTGCAGCATAAATACAAAAGCTGCAACACAAATACAAACGTTGCATCACAATTATAAAAGCCGCAACACAAATAAAAAGCTGCAACAGATATATATATATATATATATATATATATATATATATATATATATATATATATAAAAACCACAACAGAAATATAAAACTACAACCGTGGCAGCTTTTGTATTTATGTGGCAGCTTTTGTAATTGTGTTGCAGCTTTTGTATTTGTGTTACAGCTTTTGTATTTATGTTGCAGCTTTTGTAACTGTATTACAGCTTTTGTATATGTGTTGCAGCTTTTGTATTTGTGTTGCAGCTTTTGTATTTATGTTGCAGCTTTGTAATTGTGTTGCAGCTTTTGTATTTGTGTTACAGCATTTGTAATTATGTTTTGGCTTTTGTATTTGTGTTTTAGCTTTTGTAATTGTGTTGCAGCTTTTGTAATTGTGTTGCAGCTTGTGCATTTGTGTTACAGCTTTTGTATTTGTGTTGCAGCTTTTGTATTTATGTTGCATCTTTTGTATTTGTGTTGCAGCTTTTGTACTTATGTTGCAGCTTTTGTATTTATGTTTTAGCTTTTGTATTTGTGTTGCAGCTTTTGTATTTGTGTTGCAGCGTTTGAAATTATGTTTTAGCTTTTGTATTTGTGTTGCAGCATTTGTACTTATGTTGCATCTTTTGTATTTATGTTGCAGCTTTTGTATTTATGTTTTAGCTTTTGTATTTGTGTTGCAGCTTTTGTATTTGTGTTGCAGCGTTTGAAATTATGTTTTAGCTTTTGTATTTGTGTTTCAGCCTTTGTAATTGTGTTGCAGCTTGTGCATTTGTGTTGCAGCTTTTGTATTTGTGTTGCAGCTTTTGTATTTATGTTGCATCTTTTGTATTTATGTTGCAGCTTTTGTATTTATGTTGCAGCTTTTGTATTTTGTTGCAGCTTTTGTATTTGTGTTGCAGCTTTTGTATTTGTGCTGACACCTCTGGGCCACCGTATAAAAAAATCTTGATGATGCCCAAGACCTTTAGTACCATATTTAGGGGTTGAACATGAACACAGTATTTAAGAGAAGAACTTAATTATTATTAATTTATAATTATTAATTTTACCAGAACTGAAGTATTTAGATAGAGTGACTGTTAAGTGAATTGTACTCTAACCTTTAAATTTCCTGTTTTCATCAGACATTTCTCATTGAACCAAAGCATATCGTAAACAACCTACTAATTTCGAGTCTACATGGAACAATGCTTGATAGTCTTAGTTTTGGGTATTCCTCCATGTGTGGGTTGAAAAATCTCACATGTTGCAACCAACAAGGTACCTGCCCTAACCTGTAGCTTCTGCGGCTGGTGGAGGTGGGGGAGGTTACTGTTTATGTAACAAATTTTCGGTTCCAAAACAGATGTGCAGTTTGTCAACAGATGATTGACTCACTAAAAGGTGACAAGTATGAAAGTGTTTTTTTTTTTGTTTTTTTCTTACGTTTTCTCTCATTTTGTAGCTTCAACATCCGTTGTAAAGGTGCTTTCAAAACCACTGAGAACAGTTTGCTTTGCTTTGCATATTTCACTGTCTTTATGAAGTGTATCAAGAAATGTGCCATAATTCAAACAACTTGATGGGATCAGATTAAAGTTTTTTTGTTTTATTTTTTTGCTTTTATTAAAGCTAATTCATGTAGATAAAGTCAAAGCTTGTCCATGTTTTTATGCACTCTACTTTAGGTTCTCCGTTCTGGGAATGAGTTCACCTGAAACATTCCAACTGAAACCAAAAAAAAAAAAATACCCAGTGAAAATTGGTTAGAGAGAATCCTCCATGTTCTCAGAAATCAGTGTTTTTCCTGTACTGCGTGTCAAAAAACGTCAAGGAAAATGTCAACAATACGTCAACTAAATGTGAGTTAGATTTCTGACCGTGGAAAGTCTGTTTTCTTATCAATCTTGATGCCATTGTATTGATGGCTGCTGGATGATATAAGTTACCGTCAAAACTGTTTGTTTTCACTTCAAGTGTTTTTTATAACTGCACATTATTGGCAATGATTTTAGTGATATTTACAGAAAACACCATCACTGTTTCATTACATAAAAAAAGAGAAATATATAATTTTCCGTGCTTTTTAATTGTAGTAGTTTATTCAGTCCATTATACATAAAAAGCAAATCCTACTTCTATCCTGACAAGGAGGTAGAAAAGGGTAAGATAAAATGAATTTCATAGACAAACATTCGAGCTAAATGACATCAGTGTTATTGTTTGTGTGCTGCCAGCTCACCTTTATGAAGACCTACTTCTAAGTCACTTCCGGTCAGGTTAAAGAGATGTGGAACAAAAGTTTTAGCTCCAACTTGAATAAGTTGTTATACTAGAAGATTCATAGGTAATAATGTCATTTTCAAAGTACCCTCCATTTCTTTCTGTTGGATACATTTCCAAGACAACTTTTCACATTTGCATAGTCAGAAACAAAAGACATACCAAACAAAAGTACAAATTTGCCAATTTATGTAAAATTACAAGAAAAACAGCAACATCTGGTTGCCTTGTTCTGATGACAAAAACAATGAACCAAAGCATAACACTTTCCAGAAGAAAGAAAACATTCAAACTCAGATCATTACATCATTTGCATTCTGACTGCATTAATTTCTCAAAAGCGAGTCTCATCTCTATGAAAAACTGGACTTTAATAAGACCAGATCCAGAAGATCGGCTTCTCTTAAAGCTTTCATCTCTCCTTATCATTTTACAACCTGAAGATATCAAAACCACCAACCTATAAAAGACCCCAAATACATTGAAAAGTATAATAAACAAAATAATGTGAAATACTTTATCAAATGAACTGAATTAGCTAAAATAGTATTATTTTAAGTAACTTCTTATTGTAGCCAGCTACATTTAAGATAACCCACCCAACACTGGTCACCATGGAGACCGTATGAAAATGGTGTGAGGCTGTTAGACATCCTGCATCTGGGGGAAGACTCTACTTCACTAATATCCTCCACACAAGGTTAATGTTATACAGTCTTACTGTATAAAACTAATACATACTCCCAATAACACACACTACTATACATATAACTAAGTTAATATGAGCATATATGCCAAATGGAGCTGGTGATCAAATATGAATAAATTTAAAACATTTCTACATCCTTTTTGAGCTATAACAACAAAGAGGAGAGGATGGTAATAAGTGTAACTAGTGCTACAGGAACATATCTGGAGTAGGCAAAGGACACTTCCTGAGAGTAAAATGTAGTCATATTTAGAGCAACAGAAATGTGAGAAATAACTTTCTTTTATAACAATTGCCAGTGTGAACATATAAAGTATTAACACTTCAATCTCCATCTGTATTTCCTTGTGTCTGGCTTCAGCACTGACCCACTCTATGGATAAAAAGCTTGTAGATTAAAGCCGTTTATTTTTACATACAGCCGCTACCAGCAGCAGCTTCAGCATGCGGACGCAAACTGTCCAGGTTTCAGGTCAGCGGACACGCCACAACCATGGGAACCTTTGTAGGTTCCAAAGAGCAAGAAAGAGCAAAAATATCTTGCATCTCTAAGGGATATCATCAAACATCCTGAGGAGTTTCTTGATTCACTTTCTGGTGTGAGTTTTCTTTGTGTTTTCTAATAAGAACAGTCAAAATGGCCGCGACAACGACTGCAACGAGAACACCCACTATGCTGGGAATCAGATATGACTGGTTCAGCTCCTGTTCCCGGCTCCCCTCCTGTTTCGGGCTCTCCTTGAATTGGCTCGATTCAGCTAAAAAAGTGAAAACACATTTTGTTAATCTTATTTTTTTTTCATAGGTGAAAAGAAAATAGACTTTCAGATGCTAAAGGTCACTCACACAGGATCTGAAGAATGACTAACTGGTCATCCAAACCACAGGGGGCCCTAATTCCAACTGTGAAATTTTCTTCTTTTTGAACATCAGAGATGTTCAGGAAGATGTAGTTAATGTGATCCCAGTCACAGAAATATGTTGTTGATGAGCTGTCCGGACATTTAATTATATCATTTTCGTTTTTCCAAAAGTAATCTGTACCGGTACAGCTCTTGTTATTGTTCCAATTTATTGTACAGTTTATTGTCATTTGGCCTCCTTTTGTGACTGTTACGTTCTTGGGGCATTCCAGTGCAACCACTAAACAAAGATAAAAAGCAAAATGTGGAAAACTCGTGAGGTTTATTTACAATAGTGTGTTTACAGTAGTTATTTTTGTCTTACTCTCAAAATATCAATTTATAATACAGACAAGATAAAGAAATACCTTGATCTGATGAAACAGCATTTTGCAGGATAAACAACAGAGCCAGGTATATCCAAAGGAAAGACATCAGGAACTGTTTTCAGCTTCAGGGACTGGAAAAGAGAGAGGAGATCATCTAAAACCTTTTGATTCAGATATATACAATTTATAAAACTCAGTCTAGATTTAATGTTCTTTCTTTTTATCTGTTTTTTTATTATTATTATCAGAAACATTAACATTTAACTGCTCAGAGAGACCTCTGTAATCTAAGATGGAGCTTCTAGAATGTTTAATGTTATGTTCTTTTTAAGGTGATGACTTCTCTAATGACTTCAGACATCACGGTTGCTTTTTGTTTTAATACATGTGCAATGACTCCATCACCCAAACTCTGACTATACATTTTTGGCAGTAACAGCCTCCCATACAGATTACAGAATCAACCTGAAACACCTGCTTTTTTGGAAGATTTGTAATCATATTGATAGCCTTAGTATTATGATACAGAGTAATGCTTTATAGTAGCACATCATTTGATGGGGCGACGACACACAGATGTCTTTTTTACTTTTTTTGCAAACCCACACACCTCCTACTGTACCAGCGATGGCTGGTGATAGAAAACTTTTTCAGGGATGCACTTCAGGTTGAGGACTATTCAGTTCAAGTTTAAGTTAAAAATACTTTATTAAACCCAAAGGTAAAAGAAAAAAAATTACTACTAAGTAACAGTTATAAGTTTTTTGGGTAAACTAAACATGTTTTATGAAAGTTCGAAGTCATTAAGCAGGTTGCAAAGTGCGGCTGAGGAGCTGTCAAAAACCCCGACAAGTCCTGGCAGCTCTGTCGTGTTTGACGAAAACATTTAAAGAATGTCACGATGTTGTGGAATCAGTTTGCTTTTTTGCCAAAGGCAATCCCCTCCGGCAGGTGTAAGTATGGATTATAAAACCAGATTTATTGGAACGGCACAGAGAAACATAGAGACGTCTGATAATGACTCAGTTTTTCCTACAATTAAATTTTCCTCTCAAAGACAAACAACCTTTTTTAGGAAAATGACGGTTGTACTTTTCTTTTTATATCTCAACTGTTTTTATATACCTCCAAGGGAAGTTTATACCCATGACCTTATCCACAATTTTGTAACTGCAACCTGAAAATATTTCCCAAGGGATTTTAATAGACAATCAAAAAGCAGTTAATCATTTTGAAGTGGAAGTCTTTATTTCAGTGAACAAGCACACTATCCACAGCTTAATCCATGGACTATGTGTGTGCTTTTAACATACGCTGTTATATTAATAGTTAATCTCAGTTAATCTCCCACATAAGTCTATAATCATCAGTTGTGTGAATCTACACTCAGGCTGTATGAGGAGTAAAAAGCAAAGCTGAAGCTCTCCAAAGTTTCCTGATTGGATTTAGTTTTGGACTTTAACTTTTTAAGTCTTTTGCAGCTTCTATTGGGGTTTCATCCAATCACCCTTCAGCATGATACTGCCACCACTATGTTTCATAGTGGGCTTTTGTACTCACTCCTCAGGCTCTATTTTTTCCTCAACATTCAGCTTTTTAAGGATAAGTTAAAACGTTCAGTTTTAACTTATCGATAATAATAATAATAATAATGATCGGAGACTAATAGTTGGCCTTTAAACGGAGTGCTGCGGTCTATCTTTAGCAGGTGAGTTTACCTCCTACTCTTTATTCAAAAAAATACTTAAAGTATGCCTTTACATTCACATATGGCATTGTTTTAATTTCTGAATACGATGCCATGTTATTATGAATAAAATCAATACTTTAAAAAGTTTAATAACAAATGTACCTCTATACAGATAGTCGTGATATGGATGATGGATGGTAGAATTATTGCATACATTATATAATATTGTGTGTTTAATATTTGTCTGGAAACTCAAAAGAAGATTTTATTCTAAATATTTTTGCAATCTGCCTTAAATTTATCTGTGTCACAGTACTACAGTATGTTGCTATGCCTTGACAGCGTATATGACCTGCTGCAGTGGGAGATGCAAGCTATCCATGTGGAGAATACTTTCTCTAGGCTGTTTAATTTTAATGAAGAAAATCTGTTTGACAGAACTGAAATGGGACGATTTTTTTTATGATTACTGTGACATCTCATCTCTCATCTTCAAATTTCTCGCTTATTTGTTGCCAAATCCGCCGCAGGTACCAGTCTGGATGTTTGCAGTAGCTTGAGGGCAATTTGAACCTTGCACTCTTTCACAACCAAAATAACTTTGGCGTTAACCCAGACTTACGAGGGGCGTTCAGTAAGTAATGCCTCTGATCCACTCAGTTGTTTGATCTAGATGAAATTTTTCACGTGCAATTACTTAAATGTCTATAGATTAAGTGGAAAATTACATCTCTGAACTAATTGTGGTTTCTGATTTACAGGTGCTTGAACTGAGTCTGAAATGTAGCCATTTGAGTGTCGGGCAGTGATCCGTTTTTTGTATTTGAAAGGACGCACACTACGGGAGACTTTTCCTGAAATGAAAGTAAACTATGGTGATGATGCAACAGATCATTGCCCGACATTCAACAATCTCCATATCAGACTTGACTCAGTTCAAACACCTGTAAATCAGAAGCCACAATTAGCTCAGAACTGCGATTTGCCACTTAATCTAAAGAGATATAAATAATTGGACATGCAAAATTTCAGCTAGAGCAAAAAAATGAAAGTGTGTCAGGGGCATTACTTTTTCCTTACCCTCGTAATGGTGCAGCTGATCATAAGCATTACTAAGACATCATGTTTGCCAAAAAATTACATTGTACAAATACTGTGGCTTGATAGTTACTGTGGTTATTTTAGTTGGTTATATGCAAACCAAAGAGATTTTAAAGTTATCTGCATGCAAAAATATTCAGGTCTATCCACAACTTGTTCTGTAATTTAACTCTCCAATGTATTTAAGTTAGTGGTTACTTTTTTCACAGCTGTAATGTCTGTACATTGCACATAATCTATTTTCTATTTTCTCTATTTCTTAAAGTTTGATTCTTTCTGACATAACTTTGCAGAGGCGGTATCGATTTAACTGATTTTAAGAACTTGAATTTGAATGTTTCTTGAAAAAAATGAAACCTCCTATTCCTCAAAGGATTTAATAACGCATAAAAATCAGAGGTTACAACTCTGATTTGGTGCGGTACAGAGAGCTTGATATGATTACTGGAATAAGAGGAAAGGACATTTTTCTTCCTGCTTTCACTTTGCAGCAGCAAACTCAGCAAAGACAGTTGATTAATAAACCAACAGCCCAAATAATATTACTGCAAACAAAAAAAAAACAACTAAAAAGTCTGAATAAGAAGAATGTAATTATTACATGTTAAGTTAAAGGCTTCGTGTTCCAGCACAGATTAAAAAACAACCAAAGCAGAGAATAAAATAAATAATTAACAGGTGAGACTGAGGGATAATAACAAGGTTAATCTGCAATATAAACACCAAATCGAGTTATGTTGTGCATCAAATCTTCCTAAATCAGCTTAAATTTTATATCTATTAAGGATGAAGAAGGAAAATTCCTAAGCCGAAGATTTCAGTCAACAACCTGCATGACAACTATTTAGCAATGAATGATGACTAACGATGAAATATTTCATAAAATGATTAAATGAACCACAAATGGCCATAAAGTATGAAATAAGCATCTGCACGTAAAGTGTAAAGTTTTACCTACTTTATGGAGAAGGTTGTTGTCAAGTGAGCATCCAAGCAGGAATCTGGAATATTGCAACAAGGCTCATACTGATGTGAGTTGGAGTAGATCCTGGAGCTGATGTCACACTGGTTATGCAAAAACAAAGATGGGTAGATAGAGAGAGAGAGAGTGAAGGAGAGAAGGTGAAGGAGGGAGGAAGGAGCATCTAAGAACAAGGAAGAGGAAAGTATAAAATCATGCTAGGATTAAGTGTTTGTTCCTCAGCATTGCAGTCAAAGGTCAAATCCAACCGCAAGTAGGAGAAAAAGTGTTTTGGCTAGCATCAAGACACAAGCCGACGTTTTCACTTTCGCGAGAAACGTCGGCATTTATGTCTGATTAAAGGGTCTCAGATGATTTTTTTAAACCAGTGTTTAATTAGGAGATGAGAAACTTGCTTAACCTGATGAGTAAGATGTCTCCATGATTAAACTTGACCAATATTTATTGTGTCTTTTAATCCAGTACGCAGGGGGGTAGGTAAAAAAATCAAAATGTGTTAGAAAAGAACTGGAAAAAAGGAACATGTTGATTTCAACGATCTTTAAAACAACATGTTGCAAATAATCTATCTACATTCCAACTTATTTGGGAATGATGCCAGGAAAGAAGATTATCTGTTCCAACTGTAACAAACTTCAACAGGAAGTTGGCTAATCTCGAATTTAACTGGTAAAGCATGATTGCTGGCTTTTGCTGCAATAAACACTCTGAGGGGTTAAAATAAAGCACTTGAAACTTAATGTTAAGTAAAGTGGAGGATTGATAAAGCTGTGGGCCTGCTTTTCTTAAAAAGACCCTGTATGATAAGCTACAAACAATATTTTTTGAGTTAAATTTTCCAGCTAGAGCCAGGACTGCATAAAGGATTTAGATTTATAGATAAACCTTGAAGCAACCTTCATTATGCAAAATTAAAGTGAATTATTTTATCTTTGCAGATCACCAGCTAAACAATAACAACCAGCTTGGATAGAACTATTTTTCCTTGATTTGTCAAATTTGTTAGGAATCCAGTTTGGGTGGGTCTTTTGTGTGTTTTGCTCTCTCCACCACCAAGTGGTGCCCTGTCCTCCTTGGGCCTCCCTGCACATCTGTGGCTTGTTGGATCATTACTGGAGGAGTATTCGAGCAGTGGGCTGTCACTACCTTGACACCAGAGTGTTTGCCAGTTTTGGGTACTCTAGCCAAGCTGAGATTAGCTGAGTTTAACCTAAGATTTGTTTCTCTGAGTCTTATCTAGTTTTTTTTGTCTTTGCTCTTTGGCAGGAAGCCTTCCTGAGTAACTGGATACCTGGACCTTCTTCCCCTGGAAATATTTACAGAGAACACACTGAGGAGTGGAAAACCTCCACATGATCCGTTCAAGTCCTCTTCGGAAATCCAACTGACAGTCCGCTCCTTTACTCCCCTGGGTCCAACGTTTGTCTATCTGTCCGCCCTCCAACGAGTTCCCTCTTCTCTGGATAAACCCCCACAAGCTGGATTCAAGGATTGACAAGAGCCCCCTCAGACGTGAGTCCCTCTCCAGTAATTTTCAAGCCTCAGTCAAATTTCCTACGGTCTTGTCATGATGGGTATCAGGGAGGCCCAATATGCAGAACACTGACGACACGGATGGGAAGTTTAACAGAGTTTATTGGCAAATTCACACATATAATAAAGACTGATGCAATGGTTCTGGGCTGGGACCGGTTCACTGGCGTCTGTGAGAAAGACAGTTTGGTTAGCAAAGGCTTGGTTGAGACTTGACTGATTGTGTTCAGGTTTGTACCTTGATGAACGTAGAGGAGGATTTGGGAGCGGAACTGTTGGGTCCGGAGAAAGCTTGGGTTGGCAGAGTCCTTAAGCTGTTTCAGCGTCTTACTTCTAAAGGCTGTTTTGACCTTGGCTTGTGTTTCCAGCTCGGTATCCAGAGCTGCTAGGAAATCCAGAGAGTGAGTCTTCAGGTTTGGCTCGGAGGGCTGGCTCGGCAGGTTAAGCTCTTCCAGAGCTTCACAGGAGAAAGAACAGGAAACCTGGAAGCAGAGACAAAAGGGTTAGAATCCAGGTTGGACTCAAAGGAGACTTGGTTCACTAGGGATCTATGGCTTAAGTGCTAACCAACTGATTAAGACTCTGCGGCGTCGAGGCAAGGTCTGAAGGCAGCTTAAGTAGTCCAGGTCCTCCAGATGAGATCATCAGCTGCAGGTGTGCAGAGCAGCTCAGCAGGGAGGATCCAGGGCGGACTCTGCTGGAGAAAAGGTGTATTTCTCCAGCTCCCAACAGTACCCCCCCTCAACGACCGCCCCTTGGCGGTGCGGAAGAGGTAGACGGGAGGGAACGCTCATACTCCTCGATGAGAGAAGGGTCGAGGATGTATGAACCAGGAACCCATTGTCGGTCCTCCGGACCGTAGCCCTCCCAGTCGACGAGGTACTGCCAACCGCGACCTCGCCGACGGGAGTCCACGATCCGGCAAACGGTGAAGGCCGGATGTCCATCGACTTCCAGGGCGGGTGGAGGGGAGTCGGATGGAGGGCAAATGGGACTAGAGATGACTGGTTTAACCTGGGAGACGTGGAACGTAGGGTGAATCCTGAGTGTCGGGGGAAGTTGAAGACGGACGGCGGAGGGGTTGATGACGCGAGTGATCTTGTATGGGCCGATGAATCTCGGGGATAATTTGCGGGACATCCCCCTCAAGGGGATGTCCCGGGTGGACAGCCAGACCTCCTGGCCGACGTTGTACTCGGGGGCTGGATGTCTCTTGGGGTCAGTGAACCTCTTAGAGGACTCAGAGGAATGGTTGAGTGCTTGGATGGTCTCTCTCCAAACACGCTGGCAACGACGGATGTGGCGATTGACAGTCTTCACCGATATCTCTCTCTCGTCAGCAGGGAAGAGAGGTGGTTGGTAGCCGAGGCTAACTTGGAAGGGAGACTGACCGGTAGATGCAGACTTGAGTGAGTTATGGGCGTATTCTATCCAGGTGAGATATTGACTCCAATCGGTGGGATTATTGGAGGTGAGACAGCGGAGGGTGGATTCGAGGTGTTGGTTCATCCTCTCAGTTTGACAATTTGACTGGGATGATAGCCAGAAGTTAGTGACACTTTACAATTTAGAGCAGAACAGAAAGCCTTCCAAACCTGTGAGACAAATTGGGGACCACGATCTGAGAGGATGTCCTGGGGAATACCATGGAGGCGAAAGACGTGCTTGATCAGCAACTGGGCGGTTTGATAGGCCGTAGGAAGCTTTCTGAGAGGGATCAGATGACAAGATTTGGAGAAACGATCTACGATGGTTAAAATAGTTGACATACCTCGAGACTCTGGGAGACCAGTGACGAAATCGATGGCAATATGGGACCAAAGACGTGAGGGCACAGGGAGCGGTTGCAGCAAACCGGAGGGTGGCTGATGAGAGGCTTTGTTCCGTGCACAGGTGGAGCAGGCAGACACATATTCCTTTACATCTCGATGCAAAGTGGGCCACCAAAACCGTCTTGAGATCAGTGAGACTGTTCGGCTCACTCCCGGATGAGCAGAGAATCTTGCCGAGTGCATCCAATGAATGAGACGAGACCTAACAGACGAGGGGACATAGGTACGGTTAGGTGGTCCATTACCTGGGTCAGGTTCTGTGGCCAGGGCAGCGTTGATTAAATCTGTTATCTCCCAAGTGACCATTCCAACGGTACATGAGGCAGGGAGGACAGGTTGGGGTGACTCAGGTTGATCCACAGCGTAGAGACGAGAGAGAGAATCGGGCTTGGTGTTCTTAGATCCAGGTCTGTAGGAGATAATGAGATTAAAACGTGAAAAGAAGAGAGACCACCTTGACTGTCGAGGAGTAGCTTGTTTAGCGGACTGGATGTAGGCGAGATTCTTGTGGTCAGTCCACACCAGGACTGGATGCTCTGCTCCTTCGAGCCAGTGTCTCCACTCTTCCAAAGCCAACTTAATGGCCAAAAGTTCTCGGTCCCCAACGTCGTAGTTGTGTTCTGCGGGAGAGAGTTTACGGGAAAAGAAGGCACAGGGATGGATTCGTTGATCAGAGTCGAGCTTCTGAGACAAAACTGCCCCTACACCGGAGTCAGAAGCATCAACCTCTAGGATAAATTGCTTAGATGGATCTGGTTGGATTAGGACTGGAGCTCTGGAAAACAAGGTTTTGAGTTTGTCAAAAGCTGCTTGTGCCTCAGGGGACCATCGAAAAACTCTCTTGGAAGAAGTTAATGCAGTTAATGGGAGGGCGGTTTGGCTATAATTTCTGATGAACCTCCGGTAGAAATTAGCGAAGCCCAAAAATCTTTGTAGCTGCTTACGGCTTTCTGGAACGGGCCATTCTAAAACAGCTTTTATCTTTTCTTCAGAAGGCTTAACCTGCCCGCCCTCGAGCTCAAACCCCAAAAAGGTAACTGAAGATTGGTGAAACTCACATTTTTCAGCCTTTACAAAAAGTTTATTCTCTAGAAGTCTCTGAAGAACCAGGCGGACATGTCTCTTATGTTCAGATAGATTCTTGGAGTAGATCAGGATATCATCAATGTATACGAATACAATCACATTGAGGAAGTCTCTGAGGACGTCGTTCACTAGGGCCTGAAAACATGCGGGGGCATTTGTTAAGCCGAAAGGCATGACCAAATACTCGAACTGGCCCAAAGGAGTCTTAAATGCCGTTTTCCATTCATCTCCTTCACGTATCCTAAGGAGATGATAGGCATTTCTTAAATCGAGCTTTGTGAAAACGGTAGCTCCTTGTACAGGCTCAAAGGCTGAGGCGAGAAGAGGAAGAGGATATTTGTTTTTGATAGTGATTTGGTTCAGGCCTCTATAACCTATACAGGGTCTCAAAGAACCATCCTTTTTTCCAACAAAGAAAAATCCTGCGCCCAACGGGGATGAAGAAGGGCGAATAATTCCTGCAGCTAGCGACTCGTTAATGTATTTTTCCATTGTTTCACGTTCTGGTTTGGAAATGTTATAAAGTCTACTGCTGGGTAACGGAGCACCGGGTAATAACTCGATGGCACAGTCGTATGGTCTGTGTGGTGGAAGGGACGAAGCACTGACCTTACTGAAAACAGGAGCCAAATCATGGTAATCAGGGGGTACCGGA